TATTCATTGTCAATTACACAAATATTCACATCAAGTTGTAACTGTTTCCTAAACTATCAGGTGATGGTCGTGAAGTAGCAGTATAACTGGTTGCATTAAGAAGCAAACCCGTTTCATTCTTCACATCCTTGGGCGAAGCTCTTTCAGTGACATCCAGGATTATGTGTAATGTAGATTGTTTGCTGCCATCGTTGCCCATGCAACATGTAGGCAGCTCACAATCAACCTGGGGGCACGGGTGGCCCAGTCGTCTAAGGCTCCGCGATTCCTGTGCAAAGTTGCGTCGCTTGGGCACGCCAGAAACATATAATTGTGGGTTCGAATCCCGGTAGGCCCCGATTATGTTTCTAGGTTTGTCAGCCTAATACCCTTGCCCGTGGGTTTCACCGAAGTGGTAAACATCTGAGACCTGCATCACTTCAGGCTTTGCTCCCACATTAAGCTGACACGCCGTGATATAACTGGAATACTGTTAAAAGCGGCGTTAAACTCAACTCACTCACTAACAGTCAATCTGTTTCACCTGCATTGCTTTGACCCTCATTTATTATGGTAATGGGTTTTTCAGTACCAATCCCGGGGGGTTTACATTGATATTTCCCCTACTTAAGTTGATACAGTGTGAACTAATTGTTCATTGGGTGTTGAGCCCTCACTCACACACCAACTCTTAAACATGGTGAAATTTTCCCTTTGTATAAACACTCAAAATTAATTTATATAATTCAGACCAGCACATGTACAGACAAGAGTCAGATTTACCGTCCCAAAACAACCCGCAACCATGTATCATGAATGGGTTCACATTATGCCTCTTGACATGTGTGAGTTTGTACTCATAAATGCATGTTAGTATCTGAATTTTTTATTTTTTATTTTATTTTTATTTATTTCATAAATGAAGGCCACATGGCCCAGAGTTCATTTACAGGAAGAATTTATACTATGCACATGCACAAATTTTCTTACAACAAACGTTCGTCCTTTTGAAGTATCTGAATTTGGATACATAGTCGTGGTTTTCAGACAATGTCAACTACACATCACTAGTGAGATGTATACATGTCACACATGCTAAACACATATACATAGAGATGGAAATTGCACTTTCTCATGAAGCTTTGAATCTACACAGAAGTTTCCGTGATGGAACACAATCCTGATATGTTAACCAACCGCCAGTGTAAACAATATACCATGTCGAAACATTAAGCACTAACATACACACTTGACCTTAGTGAAGGTTCACTTCTCGCGAGATTCCATCAAACATTTACTCCTCTCTGATGCAGCAACCTGAGCACATAATATTCATTTTGAAGAACGTTCTGATAGGAGCACAAGCTGTTAACGGTAATGTCTCAACTCCCAGCGAAGTGCCTTCATCAACACACACGTACATGGAGTAGTGTTGAACTACCAGAGTTCTTATCCTCAAAGACACGTTTCCTGAGGAGATTCATCCGAAAACACAGCCAGTTCTCTTACATCTGATTCAAGTGGCATGTTAACTGAAGTTAGTCCCCTAAGTGATGTCTGTGTGGAATAGCAACAGTCTACATAGCTCGCGCCTCTACTCGTTCCTCACGTCTCAGAGCAGCTAGCCAGGCCCGAAGTTAGGCGTTCTAGAATCAACTCTTATTATTATTGTCGTCAAATTTGGATATGTCCTTCCCATGTCTACCATAACAGTTTAGGAAACCTTAACTGAAGGTTTGAAGGCTGTATCCCTGAGCCGTATGGCGCTCTTTGAAATCTCGGTAGAATGGCTTACCTCAGTGTGAAATGTTTACAGCAAGCAACTGGAGTATTGCTTGACATAACAGAATGAGAGGGTAGATGAGCTGGTACACCACACGGGGTACATCCATCAACGAGTGTCCAGACCGCTGATATCGGAAAGTTCATTATAAACGATCTTTCAAAGTTAATTACTCATATTCACTTCATGAATTTACTTTTGACAGAATTTGCCATATATATGTAAACTTATGTTTTCTCATCCAACTTCTCCAGGCAATCACGTTGGTGTATACCTCATATCACGAGAAACTGGTTGAATGAGATATGACATCACACTTCTCAGTACCTATTCAAAATACACTAATCGTGACAGCTCAAGTATGCTGTAAGACGAATTGTTTTAAATCAGTATGAACCTTAAGTTTGTAACGAAGACATTCATCTGAAAGAGACATGATGTTTCTGATACGTCTTTATTATCTTTCACTGACAGTTTCAGCAACAAGGTGAATGCATTTTCGTCATAAAATGAAACATATCACCCTACAATAAAGAGTCTCACATGTTATAATATACAATGTAAGTAACAGTGATGAGATCATGTTTGATGCTGAATCACAGATAAAGGTCTGACGAAAGTATGCCGTGAAGAATGAGGGCAGCACACACCATTACCTGGACAACAAATAGTGAATGTTTTTTTTCTGTTGTTTAACGCCGCACTCAGCAAAAAACAAGCTATATGGCAGCGGTCTGTAAATAATCGAGTGTGGACCAGACAATCCAGTGATTGACATCATGAGCATCGACCCACGCAATTGGGATTCGATGGCATGCATCAACCAAGACAGAAAGCCTGACCACCCGATCCAGTTAGTCGCCTCTTACGGCAAGCATAGTCACCTTATATGGCAAGCATGGGTTGCTGAAGACCTATTCTAACCCGGGTCTTTACGGGTCATGTACATGATGTGTGATGTGTTGCTATTTATTAGGTGATAAACAAATACTCCTCACCCTACTGCTACCCTACTAGGCTGAATGGTTTCATCTGAATATGTAGCGAGGTATTATTTACAATGTAGCGTTCTTGCCGGATTTAAGAAACAAAACATAAAATTAGGTCGTTATTCATGACAAACAAAGTGGGACATAACTTGGAAAATTAACTCATTAACTGCGAGCTTTTCATCATCTCATGAAACATTTCTATACACACCCAGCTGTGCTGGCATATGTTAACATTTTAGTGTTAACACGTCAGACAATTAGTATTCAATTACGAAAAACAAATCACAGAACATTAGCTCCCCAGTAAAACATTCACGTTTGGTGAACCACAGAATGAATTGTGTTTCCACTTTCTTCCAAACAACGTCTTTTTGTCCAATCCCAGGTGGTGTAAACCTCATTCATCACCGCCTCGTCAGCTCAGGTTTCAGAAAACAAAACCAAGAAAGAGGCAAAAGCGGATTCAGATTGTTTCATTACAAAGAAAACAACAATGCTACAGATGGTAATATTTCTTCGCCATACCAATTAATATACCCTGACACCTTCCGAATGTGCCAAATGCCTTTTAACAATTAATTAAAAACGTCAGTGTCTAAACAAAATTGAAGTAAAAATTCAAGAACTTCTAACACCGATAATATACTTGCAGTATACACGTTATGTTTCAGGAATGAGCTCGGGTGGTGTTCATAAATTAAGATGTAGTTTTAAGTGTCAGCTAAATCAGAAAATGCGCTATCCTGTGACCAGATGTCAGATCCGTCAATTGACTGTCTGGTGTGTTCACATACCGTTAGCCACATGCCTATTTGCAATGGACCGCCTCCATGATGTTGTAGTTAGAGCGTCTGTAGAGAGACGAGTGAAACTAAAATACATTAAAAGATGGTACTTGATGTTAACCTTGCTGGCATTCGGCAAAAAGGGGAAAATACAAGGACTGACTCGGACAAGGCTCGGAGTGAATATAACGTGTACGATTTGGCCATCCTTAGTCCTGCGCCATGAGTGACTATGAGTGAGTGAGTGAGTTGGGTTGAACGCCTATTTTAACAGTATTCCAGTTATATCGCGGCGTGTCAGCTTAATGTGGGAGGAAATCCCGAAGTGATACAGGTCTCAGACGTTTACCACTTCGGTGAAACCCACGAGCACGGGTATAGTGCTGACAAACCTAGAAACATAATCGGGGCCTACCGGGATTCGAACCCACAGGGACGCAACTTTGCACAGCGAATCGCGGCGCCTTAGACGACTGGGCCACCGTGCCCCCCCATCTATGTTAAGCTGCAACATGGTATCTCAGATATTGACGCTCGCATAAGCACAAGCAACAGACACGTGCTTGCATGTCGCTATATAAGTGAACTCATCATAACTGCGACGTTAAACCCCATTTCTCCTGACCTCACTTAATTTAATAATTTATCATTACTCTTAAAATTAAGTTAGGACTAGCTTTAAGGCTGGGAGTTTGGGATAAGCATGCACATTCACCATATGTTTCGTACTTTCATACCCGACTGTCATTTGACAATATCATGATTCCTGCTTATATACATGGCTTCTGGCAATTTGAAAATCACTGATTTTAAGTTGTCCATTCATATAATTTTCACAGCTTTTTTGCCGTTAATGACAAAAGGAATTTGTTTTGGCAAATAATCTAGACTGGCTGCACTCTTCCATTGACAGTTTATATACAATTAATATAACGCCATCTACTGGTCAGCCTAGGCGACCGATATGGATATATATATCAGGGTTACGGAGGAAAACTCGGAACTCCTTGCGCTAATAGTATTAAAATACAACTTACCTGTAATGTTACTTTTTTTTATTGAAAATTGATTTAATTGTTATCAAGTATCCATTTCATTCAAAAAACGAAAAACGTTTTGATAAAACATACTAGTCTTGTTCTTTGAAAGAATTCGAACAACCAGTAAAAATGCTGCTCATATATTAAATGTTACTTCAAACTCTTGATCACATGATAACCGTTTTGTGCAAAATGAACATGAAATAATTATTAATAATTTTATACAGGAAATAAATGCCGTCAGATGCTATTTAATCCTTCAATAAAAATGCCCGATGTGTTATGCATCAGAACACCGAATAACGAAGCCACTCGTGCCATACGTCTCGCTTCCCCTACTCGCTCGCTCTCATACTCAAGTGCTGCCTTGCATCAGCACCGACTCGCTGTTTCTCAAACTTCCCCCACGTTTTCTCCAGCAGCCCAACTGCGTCTGTGAGCGCCTCCTCCGGTACTGAGTCTGGGAGTATATAACTGATGCCAGCATCTCCCGGCGCCAGTTGGTGGGAAGCCACGTATACGTGACACTGGCCGCTCATGAATGAAATAGCGCACTCAGGCGTACAACTCGTAGTGGAAATGTGTGTATGGATATTGGAGGTGTTAGTGTTTCTGTGACTCCGGATTAATGGTTAGACATTGTCGAGGGTTTCTTTATCGTGTTTTGAAATATTACCTCGGAGAACTTTGCTCAATAACCTTTCTTTGTTCTTTGCTGAACTTCTATGGTTAAATGTTCCATGTTCGTATCAGGCAGCTGACAAAAGAGAGAGAGAGAGAGAGACGTTTTCAGTTTGGCCAAGTGTTGTTGCACTGCCATTCACAAAATCTGTGTTCAGATGGTCAACGAATGTGACATACATTGATGTTTATCATGGGTATTAAAAGCGAATTCCGTATTTGCAACTTTGGACTGAACCACAATGAACCTCAAAGATTTGTCACATCACAGGTACGTATTCAGTTATTCGTGAGTCGTATATACAGATTTGTTTGTTTGTTGTATAACGCCGCACTCCATTATTTCATCCAGCAACACGGGGGCGTCCAGTAAATACTCGATGCCGAACCAGACAATCCAGTGATCGATAATCGAGCAATACAGTCAGGTCTCACGACAAGCTTTCTCCATACTTTTGGGGACATATTTTATCCCGGAATCCCCATGGGATTATTTTAAAAGAAAACACGCTCGTAAAAAATTCATAATACATATACATTTGCCTAACCATCCCCCTGCTCAACCATCGAGTGCTCAACCATCCCGTGCTCAACCATCCAGTGCTATTTGATAAACAAATACCCATGATAAAGTCGGAAGCGTACAATCGACTCTGCTTTATGCAAATTTTTCTATTGGATACGGAAAGGGTTTTGTCGCTTTATTATTATTATTCTTATGATGATGATGAGTATTATCATTATCATTATTATTAAACGGGAAATGTGTAAATTGTACAAATGCAGTGTTTTCCATAGTTCGACCACAGCGACATTCCTATACTTGATCAAAGGGCGGATGTGGATTATGCTGGGACTACATTATCATATCGTCTTAATTTTATGGAGTTCGAATTTACGAGGTTTCAATGGCTATGGCCATCGAACACATTTTATACAGACTACATAGGGAAACTTGGCTAATCACGCAATCATCGTAGGAATTCTGGCATATATTTATTCCTACTTGTGTACAGGACCATGACCAATAGTTGGCTAAAAGGAATTTTCAACTAAACCACCATTTCGATATATCCACACTACGATCTCCCCGATGTACTGGGTGTAACAGTACTACATTCTATATTGTGGCTGATACAATAGATGTACAACGGTAGCGTATGATAATGTCTGTCAGTTTTAAGTACAATCGTAGGGTAAACCAATCTGAATATGTTTCCAGGATTCTCATATTCCAAGATTCCACAAAAGGTATTTAGATTTGTTTGTTGGGCTCTATATTTGACTTTTAGCTGACTGTTTGTTTTTGGAACTGTGCAGACGTTTTGAGAACACCAAACAGCTATCACTAAACAGAGTTATCACTGACACCTGTATTTGCCGTACGATAGAACAACTCTGTGTTAACATTCAGCATGTACTCTCCGACTCGTGCCCTTGTGTGTACTCCCCATTTACCATCAGTTCATGGTGGACTGCCGTCCTCCTGGTATCCGTTATTTAATGATTATAATCAGTGAGTAACTTGAAGCTAGTGTGTGGGACCATGTTAACGTTTTCTTACGGTCACAGTATGACGACACCACTGATTGTAATATGCATACGTCAGATATGCGGTGTGTCAGATTTATGGAAGTATATTTTGTTATGCCAGATCGTGTTATCTCTGCGCATGACTCGTGTATGTATTCTCTCACGTATAGATGAGGGTAGACCTACTGTACTCCCAACGTAATGATCAGTGCAACAAACACGGCAACTTAAAACCTAGCCACATGTGATTAGAGTCTGTAAATGCATACATTTATTAAAAGTGAACGATCATGGTTTTACGCCGCTTTCAGCAATATTCCAGCAATATTACGCCTGGAACACAATAAATGGATTCACACATTGTACCCATGTTGGGAATCGAACACTGCTTTCGGTGTGACGAGTGAACGCTTTAACCACTGCCCCCATCTCTTCAAAGAATTCTTCTGGCAGGTGTCATTTCTTTCGTAAACCTTATTAGGAATTGATGTACAGTTGAGTCTATCCTGTCCCAAAGTTGAAATTGTTTATTGAAGTTATAATGCTTGGATATATTTGATGACAACATGTACAGTACTTGGTATACATTTCACGTCTTTGTCACAAGTTGAAACATTATCCAAACAAAAAGGGAATTGGAAGGCGTGTGCTGACGAAACACTGTACAATGTGTTATGAGTGAGTGAGTGAGTGAGTGAGTAATGGGTGAGTTGGTTTTAACGCCACTTTTAACAGTATTCCAGTTATATCGCGGCGTGTCAGCTTAATGTAGGAGTAAAGCCCGAAGTGATGCAGGTCTCAGACGTTTACCACTTCGGTGAAACCCACGAGCACGGGTATGGTGCTGACATACCTAAAAACATAATCGGGGCGAACCGGGATTCGAACCCACAATCATAGGTTTCGGGCGTGCCCAAGGGACGCAACTCTGCACAGCGAGTCGCGGCGCCTTAGACGACTGGGCCACCCGTGCCCCAGATGTGTCATCGTTTGTCCATCTGCTGCAACAAACCTTGACGTAAAATATAGTGTACCGTCAATGCACATTCTGGATTGATATGATTGTATTCCGTCTGTTTCAGTGGGGTCATCCTCGCCTTTACCTGTCCTGGAGGATATTCTGGGCTCTGTTTCATACTTCCTGGCTGGTCAGTAGCATGGTGTATTTGACCAAAGTGACGTCATCACCGCTAGGTGGCGCTGTGTGGCTCATCTACCTCACCAACTGGACCTACCTCCTGCTGACCACCAGTGCTGTCCTGGACGCAGTCATCGTGGTGTTCGTCAGGATCAACAGACAGGACATTATAAAGGGTAAAGGGTTCCTTAGTTTTAATCATAGTTAGAAACTGTACAACTAGCAAAGGGGGAGGTCGGGTAGCCTAGTGGTTAAAGCGTTCGCTCGTCACGCCGACGACCCGGGTTCGATTCCCGACATGGGTACAATGTGTGAAGCCATTTCCGGTGTCCCCCGCCGTGATATTGCTGGAATATTGCTAAAAGCGGCGTAAAACCATACTCACTCACTACAACTAGCAAAACCTATCTCACTGGACAGATTCCGGGTGGACCTGCAAGGTGTTCGGTGCCAGGTGAGGTGAATGGGGTTTAACGTCGCGTCCAATGGGAGTGAGTGAGTGAGTGAGTGAGTATGGTTTTACGCCGCTTTTAGCAATATTCCAGCAATATCACGGCGGGGGACACCAGAAATGCGCTTCACATCCAATGGGAGTGAATGAGTGAGGAAAAGTGTTTGATTTAATGCCGCTTTAAACAGTTTCTAAGGAACACACAGAGGTCGTTTACGTCAATTAACAATGAAACCAACGAGAATGCTGAGAGACCAGTGAGGGTGCATCTTCCCTAGGCAAGGGCCTTAACTGACTGCAAAAGTTCATTTGCCAAACTAGCCTGGAATTCTGTAACGAGTCTATGCATAGTCCAATAAAAGTCGCGCTTGAACTAGTTCGTAAACAACATAGATTTCAACGTGCATTATTTCGATCCACTGCAGGATTTGCAAAGCACGTGTACCGTCAAATGGGCGTCGACAGATATTTTTCAAATCTTTTCATGTTTTTAATCAAGGCGCTCAAATAAGTTTATGCACTTTCCGAGGTAAGGCCCGTTTTATTACAATAAAGATCCTGATTAGCTATCAGATTGTCTTGACTGGGTGTCGCCATTTTGTTTGATGCAAATGCAAGTGATGTGAGAGGCGCAACCTGATTGGTCAATAGAAGGGAGATATAAGGAACATAACTCGGAACATCCACTGGTGGCGCTACGACCGAGCCACGAAATTCCAGCGTAGCTCGGCAAGGGTGGAAACTGGACTTTTGTAGTCAGTTAACTCCATGGGCTCGGGAAGATGATAAGAGTGAGGTTTAACGCCGCCTGCCTGTTTACTTGTTGGAGGAAAGTCAGAAGTGATGCGGGTCTCAAATTGAAACGTTTACCACTCTGGTGAAACCCATGAGCACGGGCATAATGCTGATAACTCTGGAAGCATAATCCGGTCGAACTTTGATTCGAACCCATTATCCTCCTGTTAGGGTTCTTGCTTGTCCAAGGGACGCAACTGTACACAGCGAATTGCGGCGACTTAGACGACTGGGCCACCCTTGCCCCTGACTAATACGTGATCATAATCTAGTCGAATAAGGGATTAAAACCCACGATCAGCACGATTAAGGAACGCACAGGTGCATAGGTTATTGCAACGCCTAAGAATCTCATGGCTACCCGTGCCCACTTTCGCAATAGAACAAGTCAACAGGTTAATATTATTATTCGTGTAATTTTAATAGAAAGCAAATTGCATGTATTAACGCATGTGATCTGTTTCAAAGGTGACAGGAGGGGGCTTATAGTGTTTCGTCATGTCCATGTTAGATTAACATATTGATAAATTGAAATATAATAAGACTGACACATTTCCATCTTCAGGTTTCACGTCACATCTACCTTGGTACCTGAAGCTATCCTGGCTCCTCAACAGTGTAGTCACTGAAGGGAGTTTACACATCAGCGCCCTCTACTGGATCTTCATTTTCAAGGGTATGTACGTTCCTGTTTTTGTTATAATTTTTTTCCATGCTCGGGAATCACTTATGTTGTCATTTACAGTTTCCACCCTTGCCGTGCTGAGCTGGAATTTCTGGGTCCGATCGCAGCGCCATGTCCCTTCCATGTCCCTCCTATTGACCAAACAGATCCCATCTTTTATATCAATTGCATATGCTTCAAACAAGATGGCGGCACCAAGTGAACACGATCTGATCAATAATCAAGATCTATATATATTGTATTAAAATGCAATGAAATCATTTGAGCACCTAGAATAAAACATGAAAATATTTGGAAAATATTTGTCGACGCCCACCTAGATAAAAACATGAAAATATTTGGAAAATATTTGTCGACGCCCGGTTGACGGTACAAATGCTTTTAATTACAAATAATGCGGTCGATGGAAATCTGCACGTTGAATTTCATGTTGTTCACAAACCGGACGTTTAGTCCAGCCAAGATGTAACTCCGGAATTCCAGCCTAGTTCGGCAAGGCTGGAAACTGGACTTTTACAGTCACTTAACTCCCTTGCCTCGAGAAGATGATAATGTTGTATCCGTGTACAACCAGTTAGGATTGATTTTATCTGGACTGGTTGGTCTCTCGCATTAACAATTTATATTTAATGCACTTGATTGATCAAATTCCAAAGCCAATGTTTCTACTTGGTGTTTATATTGCTGAGTGCGGCGTAAAACAGCAAACCATGTATTTTACTTGGCATATTTGTAATATTTATTCCGAACGCCTTTCAGATCAACGTCTGACGCTACTGCGATTCATCCTCCACGGTATGAACTCCATCTACGTCTTGTCCAACCTCCTCATCACCGCCATGCCGGTTCGTGTGTATCACGTGATCTACCCAATTATCTATGGCGTCATCTACACAGTTTTCAGTGTCGTTTATCACATATTTGATGGGACCAATGAAAAGGGAGAACCGTATATCTACAAGACTCTTGATTGGTCCAAATTGAAGCGGACTCTACCTCTTGTGTTTCTGAGTACCTTCGTGGCTCTACCGTGTTTGTATTTGGTCGTTTATTTTACCCACATACTGAGAATATACGTACGTTCAAAATGTCTGAAAAATAACGAGGATACCAGAATTCTTGATTCATCGACAGAAAGAAGTGACAGTGAAAGTGCACGTGTTTGAACAAGTATTTCACAGACGAAAACACTCAGGAGGGATATATTAATTCGTCGTTTTGAATTTGTGATGATATATAAAGGTCACCATTAAAAAATAACAGACTAATAATTATGCATTTGTGTTGGCATTGGCATTGCCATGCATCAGTGATATTAATCCACACAGATATGTTTAGATCATTCATTCATTCATTGTCATTTGTAATACTGTGGTACATACACGCATTCTTAATGGTACATACACTGATTTTCCTCTGCAAATCGAGCGCCTCCGTGGTCTAATGGTAGAGCGTCCGCCCGGAGACCGGAAGGTCCGGGGTTCGATCCCCAGCCGCGTCAAACCAAAAGACGTTAAAAGATGGTACTTGTTGTTACCCTGTCTGGCGCACGGCATTAAGGGGCTAAAACAAGGACTGGTCGGCTTGGAGTCAGTATACTGTGTCTGAGTGGGGTATTCATGTTAAACTGCGGCATGGTATCTCATTGTGCTAGCACTATAAATCGGTATCAGTCCGGACCGGACTAGTACAAGCAGCCACACACATATACACATACAAGTGCATGCACGTCGCTATATAAGTGCAATAATCTTGGACGCGACGTTAACCCCAATTTCACCTCACCTCACTCTTTCTTTCTTTTTTCTGTTACATGAAGTGGCACTGCAATATTTTGTTGCAGGGTCCGCCAAGGTCAGAAATGGCTCTGAATTACGTGTTAACATTAAACAAAAACTGCAGTATATATATTTTGCGTTTAAAGCGGGACTGGGATAGATTGAGAGTGTTTGATTTTAGAAACAGTTCAGCAATATCACGTCGGGGGGCAGCAGGAACATTCCTCGCTGTACCCAAATGCGGAATAGAACCCAGACCTTTAGCATGAAGATCGATCGCTTCATCAACGGAGCTACCCCACCGTCATTTAGTGTGGGAGAAGCACGCTATCTACATATATATGCTGTATGATATTTACCATGAAGAAATAGACTGGGGGATATTATGCAGAGTATATGCTCAAGCAGGTAGCTAACGCACTCGCGTGTCTCGACGCAGGTTCGAATCCCTACATTTGTTTTAGTTTTTAAGGCAACAGTAAGTGCCAACCGCAATGAGAATGCTGCGGTAGTCTTTAAAGAGACTAATCACTCACAGTTCCATTATTGCCATTCGTTCTGTTACAATGACATATTGAGTGATGTACAAGATTGCCATTGTGCCAGTGTTTCAACGCGTAAAGAAACACTCAATCTTTATAATAGTAGTCTAACGTAACACGATACTCCGACATGTGCTGGGCAATCAGCACAACTACATTGAAGAATGAGCCTAAGTTCCTTTCTTTAACAAAAGAGTATTCAGTACCATTGGACCTATGTATGGAACGTGCGTAAATACTGGCAAGGAATTAGTTTGATGATTTAGATGACTCCAGTAGCCTTCCACAGATATGTGATTGACGGAAACTGGGAGATAAACATTCTGTGTTTTGAAATTTGAGGTAGTGAAACTGCAGATATGATACCTCTTATTTTAATTTGGAACATAGTGTTTTAGCTCAGATACCTGGTTTTAATGCTATTTTGATAAAACAGAATCAAACATACGTCAGTTAGAAGATTGGGTACATTCTCAAAGAGATGTAAACTAGATGAAATATTAACAGGCTGTATGGTTGTCGGGTGATTGTATGGGGTTGTTAGCGGTAGGTATACGACGTGTTCGTCGAGACGTTTCATTCGTTTTTAAAAGGACGTCAGAATAGGAACCTAATTGCTGACCACAGTGTTATAGATGGGGTACTGCTGATATGTGAGTGAAACATCCAATAGAAACAAAGAGATCAGAAAGACGAATGTTAATCCAACATGAGGAAATCTTTCAAGTCGGCCCTCAGTGATGTATCTAATTTACACCAGCCCCGGGCGGTTGTAACCTATAGGAGGTTAGTATATCAAATTGTGAATATTGAATTATGTCCACACACACACACACACACACACACACACACACACACACACACACACACACGCACACGCACACGCACACGCACACACACACACACACACACAGCAGGGTATCAGGGTATGGGTACTCGGGTATGGGAGTAAGTGAATCGACCCGTGAAGATCCGGGGTAGATTAGGTCTTCAGCAACCCACGCTTGTCCCCCGTGAGGATCCGGGGTAGAATAGGTTTTCAGCAACTATGCTTGTCGTAAGAGGCGACTAACGGGATCGGGTGGTCAGTCTCGCTGACTTGGTTTATGCATGTCATCGATACCAATTACATCCCCATGATGGATCGATGCTCATGATATTAATCACTGGATTGTCTGGTCCAGACTCGACTATTTACAGACCGCCGTCATATAGCTGGAATATTGCTGAGTGCGGCGTCAAACAACAAACAAACCAACCAGTAAGTGAATCACCACAAATACCTGTTTTCTAAGCAACGTCCAGATTATCAGCAACGGTTACCGTCTACTTGTCCTTAATCGTCAATATAACAAACATCAATGTGACGAAATAGTAAAAGCCATCGCCATGACTGCAAAACCCCACTGCCTTACGGTTTAACAACATGGTTAACCATAGCCATCTTTGTGACCTGGGAAATACAAGCCACAAGAGACCTATAAAAAAGTGACACTCGGCGTGACTATGTGAACAATATAACTTTACATTGGGCCCAGGAGACCTCGATACAACGGTAATTGGAACCTTGTGAAACTGCAAAACGTATCCTGAAGAAACGTTGCAGATATATATCCATTTACAATTTGATGTGATGAGTATATGCATCATGCTTATCACATACATCACCTGGGGGCACGGGCGGCCAGTAGTCTAAGGCGCCGCGATTCGCTGTGCAGAGTTGCGTCCCTTGGGCACGCCAGAAACCTATGATGTTTCTAGGTTAGTCAGCACCATACCCGTGCTCGTGGGTTTCACCAAAGTGGTAAACGTCTGAGACCTACATCATTTCGGGCTTTCCTCCCACATTAAGCTGACACGCCGCGATATAACTGAAATAAAGTTAAAAGTGGCGTTAAATTCAACTCACTCACTCAATCATATACATCACCTGGGAACACGATATGAAGTATGCACCTCTGTTACATGACCAGATCAAAGATAACTCTACAATAACGAAGATTAATTACATTCATGCTTGTTTTGTAGATATTTCAAGATCAAAAACATAAGTCTCTCAGGAATATTGTCATCGCTTTTAGATTATCTACCAAAGGAACCAAGTTTTCCGAACTTTTGGATCTAGATTGAAAAACTTATCACATATAAACCTCAGTATTGTGAGCGCAATGTGCGCGCTCCATCGACTCATATTTTAATCAAAAGTAATTTAGATTGCGATTTAAGTGAATAAAACATGTTTACCTTTGTAAGTTAGCTATCCAATCATATTGGTGTCGAGTAATTGAATGATTTGGTTCAACGCTGCTTTGAAAATTAGTTTTGTTATATCAAAATGTGTCCGCTTACAGGGAGGTGGAACCCGGAAAGTTTCGGGGAAATCCACAATCATGGGTATGGTGCTGACACCCTATAGAAATATAAGCAGGCCGAGGTTAAATCTTTTGGCACGCCCAAAGGAAGCAACGTTGCACAACGCATTGCGGCGACTGGGCTATTCGTGACCATCATATTGGTGAGTCAGTGTGTGGCTGGTCTGATTTTACGCCGCTTTTGACAATATTCCAGCAATATCACAATGGGGGAAACCAGAAACAGGCTTCACATAGTGTAGCCTTGTGGAGAAGCTAACCCGGACCTTCGGCGTGACGAGCGATAGCATTAAATTGAAGGTACATCCACCCCACCCCAATATTGATGAACCGGCTCACGACCAGATTAGCTGGTGATCGACCACATATTGTCCCCGCAACATAATTGGAAAACAGAACATGGTGTAAATTAAACGACATGTCAAATAATGCCAAGGCCAGTATGTTTACTGAGAACGGAATCTAAATCATATAAATAGTACATGTACATTAGTTTGTTTGTTGTTTGACGTCGTACTCAGCAATATTCCAGCAATGTGACGACGGTCTGTAAATAATCGAGTCTGGACCAGACAATCCAGTGATTGACACCATGAGCATCGATCCACGCAATTGGAATACAATGATCTTACATATGCTTTACAGGTTGCTGGCAATTCGCGTCTTCGCCTGCTCCTATCTGTGTCATAAACATTCATAAAAGAGGCAGACTGGATTCCAAAGCTCCAAAATATAATTCCGTACAAAAACAAAAATGTAGCTGTGTCCAGCAAATGTTCCACCAAATCCCTGTCTCAAAGACTAACCATAATCCTCAACACTATTTTCTTCCAGCAAAATCAAAACCAGGGAAGTATCGTATGGCGCTCTTTACAATGTTCGTAGAAAGGACATGCTCGATTGTATCTCATAGTTTGTGCAAAATAGACACCCAAGGTAAGAGCTGCAGCTGGAATATTTGACGCTTTTATGGACAGTAACTTCTGTTATTCTTTGATTCTTCATCAGGTGATGGAGGAGCAAGTAGCTCTGAAAGGTCGTCACAAAGAATAACAGAAGTTGCTGTCCATAAACAGTGCCATGTATTCATGTTCCTCTAACTTCTAAATGCCTATCAAAGACTTCAGCTGGAATAGTGCTCGATACATAAGGGAAAGTTGCCTATTGGAAAGTTGAAATCCTAATGTCATACAATCATGTGGATACTGTATTGTCACTTACACATAGATCTAAATATGAAACAGACGAGGCGGTCTCATGTTCTCTATTATTTCTGGTTCAGGTGGGTAAATTAGTGAAAAGTATTGTGGTATTTGATCATTACTGATCGGTATCAGATCGTCGATGTACCTGAAGCTTGAGTTTAGTTTTGCTTTTGCCAATCCGAGCAGTACTTCCGATTCACATGCATAACGAAACAGATCAGCAAGGAGGGAACACAGTTAGTGCCCATGGGGACACCTACTTCTAGCGTACAATCACTCATACACACCCGACACATGCATGTACAAGGATTAATGAAAGGGCAAACCAAGTATACACACCTCACACAAATGTTTACCAGTTGTGGTTGTTTGAGATCTGTAAGATATTGTCGTACACCTCTGTCATAAATTTGTTTGTGTAGCTCCACATAACAATGACCGGCTTGATGGGTGTTCAGAATGTGGCGTCTTGGTGGCCTTAGTGTTCAGAATG